TAAGTATAATTAATAGTGTTCTCTTTTTTAAAAGATAAAAATTGTTAATGCTTGAAAGGAATATTTTCATTGCTTTTTAAAATTGTTAATTAGTTGGCCGTTGAGTTGAATATTTTTATTTAAACTGATACAAATGCTACACCTTTGTCAAATAAAGTTAAGTGAGTTTGACGCTGAGTTTAACACCTGCTGAAGACCTGCATCCACAATATAAGATATTTAACTTTTTATTTATGCCGCAAAAGCACCAATCTTCTCATATTTGGAGTACCCTACAGACAAAAAAAGCTTGTTTTCTTTTGGAGATCCAAAAGATAAATATAACCAGAAATATGGAAAAACTCATTCTAACTGCAAGCGTGATGCCTTTATCATGAACTTTAAACCATACAATTGCGAATTGTTTAATTTTTTGTCTGTTTCTAAATTTTCCTAACAATATTCGGGACTTTCACTTACTCCATAAACGTTCGAGCATATATCAAAGAATGAAAAGCACTGAGAATGTTGTCGAATCCAACATAACTTCATTAACAATTTTCCTCCAGCTCGAGTCTGTAAAGGAATACTGGGAATATTAACAAATTTATCGTCTGTGTGAGTGAAGCTCTCTGCTTTGCAATTGGTCATGATAATATTTCGGTTGTACATGATGTATAAAAAAAAGTAGAAAAATTTGAAATGCGTGTTGTTTTTCTATAAATTTAATCAAATATTACAAAAAATTAGATGCTTTGTTATCGGCAATTCATAATATCCTGACATGGTCGAACAATTTAGTCCAATAAAGTTTGTCTAAGAGACCAAATTATGGTTTCACATACTACAAAACAACGCAAACTTGATTAGTTATGGATCCGTATCGTTTTAAGAAGCCCTCATTAAACACAGCTGTGCATGATGCGATGCTGTGTTGAATATTTACTCAAAACTGAAAACATCGTTTATCATCACATTATAACAGGGAAATAGAAAAATAGGGCACTCCAAGTTTGTGAAATATCATTGAGAATGAAAGGTTTTGTGGTTTTCGATATGGCAAGATGTGTATTTGGCATTGTTGGGAATACCATTGTAATCGCTTGAATAATAAAACAGAAAATTCTGTCAAAGAAAAATTTTTACTTTCTTCTCTTGCATCTTGCGATATGTGACGCATTCACACTGCTATCTATCTTCTTTGTGCAGCTCAAAATCGTCACATTTTTGTCAAACTGCATAAATATTTTGGGCATATGTAATTTAATTTTTGAAACAAGCGGAGTTACTAAGATGTTGATCATTTCAGTTCTGCGTTTTCGTGCAATAGTTTATCCATTGAAGCCTTCCTTCAGTGGACAAAAGATAAAAATCGTTTGTGGTTTAGCGTACATCATTGGTTTGGTTGCGACAGTTGGAGTGACATTTCAAAAGTGCATTAAGAATCCTTAAGGTCGTTATTACATTTACGAATGGCTGCCTTTTTTTGGCTGTTTCTGCATTTTCCCAATATTATTCATGGCTGTAACTTACTCCATAATCGCTCGAGCATCGATGAAACAAAGAAAAGCCCTAAGAGCATTCTCCAATGCAACACCATCTCATTTTCAATGCTCCTCCAACTCAAGTTCTCAAAGATATATTCGAAATTTCAAAACACTTTTTTTTGTGCACTAACGGTTTTTTAGTTTTCAGTTGGTTATAGTTATTATATAACCGCACGGTTGCAGTGGTACTATAATGCAGAAACTAACATATACATGTATTGGTTGGTATTTGTCTTAGTATTCTGGGGTCGCACGATATCAATCCATTGATCTATGGAATATTTGACAGACAAGTGCTGTACTTTTGGAAGTGTTGTACAAGACGGTTTAAGCAAATGCAGACAACAAAACGTTTTTAATCACTTGCATGATTCCTGTTCTAATCTAGTAGTGGAGATGCTTAAAAATTTTAATGTGTCGAAACAAGAATTAAGCCTTTTACAAATTTAATAATAGAATTAGGAAGAAGGAAGACCTCTAAAACGTTCTTTAAAATTTAATTGCTTTGAATAACACAACACGGAAACTAACCGAAATTACTCAAAGTTATCTGCAAAATGTCTTAAGCAATATATGCGTGCACACCAGAACCCAAATAAGTAATGACACTAGTCATCATTTTTCTAGAAAATAATAAAAGTTTTCTTCATTATGATACTATTTTTCAACTTTTTCTTTGTGGAATGTTGGTAAGTGTTGATGCATGTTCTTTTAAAGATTCAGGAGAGAAATATATAGATAGAAAGATATAAGTAAATTATTAATAAATAGAACCTAAAATGGCTTCGTATTCAGAAAAGCAAATTAAAATAAATTTATGTCTTTTTCAATATTTAAAAACAATGTTCGTCTCCTATAAAAAGACCACTGTTTGAAATATCTTGTATAAAATAAGAAAGAGGTTAACAATAATGTCGAAAAAAGATAAACATAAAGGTAGACGTAAAGGTAGAAAAAAGGTAGATATGAGTGTGATAGAGACAAGTTAGAATATTTACAATTAGAAAATGGTGTTAAAATGTTTAATTTGTTTGTTAAGATCGGTTTTTGTTTGCAAATGTGTAAGGCTTCATTAAGTTTTAGAGAAAATTGAGTGTTGGCGGTGTCTAGGATAGTGAAACATGAGCGAGTGTATTTAGAGTGTTTTAAACAATAAGTTAGAACGAATAAGAAAGAGCAGATGCGTAAACTTGTACTGCTATATCTTTAAAAATCTACTTGAACAACTTAGAAAGTAATAAACAGTTTTTCATGGCATTTGAAAAGTGAAATATAGAAAAAATGAAAAAGCTAGAAATTCTCGTAAAAACGTCATTTTTTCCATGACCTTAAATATTGACAAGCATTTGATCATTGAAGTTATTGATATTTTATGGAATTTAATGTAATGATTTTGCCTAAAATAGTCAAAATTTACTGTTCAATATGGCTTTTCGTCAAATAAAATATGGTAAATTTGGATACTTTTGAGTGCGCTTTGTCTTAGGGAACGTGCTTTTTCACATTTGCAGCTGTGATGAGACGTTACGTGCATTTGCTTTTATTTAACTGTAATAATATTTTAAAATTAAATATTTTAAAAGCATTAAGTTTTGTTGATGTTTGGTTAAGTAATTACACATTATAAACTTTCATGAATTCTAATTGGTCAGTATAGCTAACAAAGAAGGCAGAACAAGTTATATAACACATTTGTTGAGTATTTCACTTACTGAGCAACGAAAAAACCAAATTCTTTTGGGTATTTGCAAAGTGAAATATAGAAATATACACACCATTCCAAAACGTATAGTAAGTCAATCATATCTATCACATATTGTTATGGGAATTTTCTTTGTGTTGAGAATTGCAATTTGCAAACTTTGTATTTTTGGAAATACTCTTGTTATCGTTACATTATTAAAGCAAAAGATTCTGTTAAAGAAGAACTAATATTTTCTCGTTTTACATATCACGATATGTGACGTATTTGTGTTAATAAAGTTATCTTTTCTGAAACCTTGCATGCCAATTTAAAAATTAACTCATTTCGGTTGGACTGCTCAATAGATGGCATAAATATTTTTTTAAAATAAGTGGAATATCTATGATGTTGATAATTTCAGTTCTACGTTATCGTGCCATAGTTCATCCATCAAAACCTTCCTTCAGTTGATGAAAGACAAAAATCGTTCGTGGCTCAGTATACATCATTGGTTTGGTTGCGACAGTTGGAATAACATTTCAAAAGTGCATTGTGAATCCTCAAGATCGTTATTACATTTACAAATTGCTTGCGTTTTGTTCATGTTTCTTCATTTTCCCAATAATCTTCATGACTTTATCTTACTCCATAATTGCTCAAGCATTGATCAAACAAAGAAAAGCACTTAGAGATTTTTCCAATGCAAAACAGTCTCATATACAATCCTCCACCAGCTCAAGTCTTCACAGATACAGATGGAATGTTAAGACTTTGTTTGTCTGTACGATGACATTTTTTTGTTTTGCAATTTGTTGTATTTATTTGTATACAGTTTTTTGTATTAGTTATTTTATAAAGAAAGTAGCATAGTCAATGTAAATGTTGGTTCTGTTCTTGGTATTCTGGGGTCGCACGTTTTCAATCCAATAATCTATGGAATATTTGACAGACAAGTGTTGTCCTTTTGAACAGGTGGTGCCAAAAAGACAAGTTTGAATCAATCAAGAAAACTTCATGTTTGCTCTTTAATTACTTACGCATGTTTCTTTATCGGGTGTTAAAGGATATATTTATCTTAAATTTAATGATTTGTTTAAAGTAATGTTCTTATAGAGTGTGAATAGAATTTAATTTTGTTGTTGTGTAATTGTAACTGAAACCTTCCTTTAATCAAAGAAATTGCATTAAGTATATATAGAAATTCATCATTAGTTTGCCAACCAAATTTTGAATGAATATTTTAGATTAAATTTCAGATTCTTGAAGTGTATATAAAAAAGTAAAAACTTTGTAGTTTTAAGTAGAGTTATAACTATGTTTGCTTAATGAAATTAGAGCCACAAAATTGAATTATTGCAAAAAAATCATTTTTCTGTGTGCAGCAGCTTTATTGTACACCAACAATCTTTAGCTTTCCCAAAATATACTCAGTGTGTCATCACTAATCCACCATATCTTGAAATGATTAACGAACAATTTTGCCCAATAAAGCTCTCATTAATAGACCAAACTAATTGCTGCTTTTCAGGGCCGTGGAAGTATCTCAAAAGTGGGGGCACTGACCGAAAAGGGCATGTGAGTTTGCAGCTTACTGTTTTAGTATATTACAGATATGCATTATTTCATGAATCATGATTAAGTTTCAAAGTCTGCAAAATATTGGTAGACATTCTTAGAATGCTATGCGCATTCTCTACTGCTCGGCGTGCGTGATAACAAATTGAACTAAGATGACTATATGAACAATTTTATTAAGTAATGCGATCTCATTAAAATTTCCCAAAAAATCTAACCCTAAGTTCGTTTTTGAGAACAAAGTCCTTAACTATTAAACGTAAGTCCAGTTCGTCAGTTCTGGCCTTGTTTACATGCATAACAATAAGATTATTGTAGCGTGCTGCCGTCATTGTGCTCCTTAGATGTGTCTTGACAAGCCGCTGGCATGAAAAAGATCGTTCTCCAGAGGCTGCGCTCATTGGAGCAAGAAGGTAAAGCTGCAAGAGTCGGACAACATTAGAAATTGCCATGACAATCTGCGATGAGTTATTTTCTTCGGTTGAGAATATTGATGTTATGGTGTCAATTGATGTCACCTCCTTTACTTCTGGATGTCGCTGCGAGATAATTCCTTCAAGAAGCTTTAACTCCGCCTTCAGCTGGTCAAAGTCGAGGTCATTTTCGTAAAGGTGTTCAACCTCTTCATTCAACTCAAACTTACACCCGTTTGCTGCATTAATGAGCACGGTTTCGACGTTCATCAATACAGAATATGTTTTTTGATCGAAGCGCTCCTGTAGTGAAGCAAGGACGCACCAATTGCTTCAATATACTGGGCACGGTGGGCGTCTTTCGCAGTTTGGAAACAATGTTGCTCGCCATCTCCGTGTTGAAGTCGTCACGGAACTTTCTTCGGTCTTGGTTCTGTTGGATCGCCTACAAAGTTGATAGTCTTGCTTGCAGCAACTACTTGGTCGTTAAACAAAGAGAAGTTGTCTCGTTGACGCTGCAAGTTTGTCTTCAAGGCATTTATGCAAGTAACAGTTGTTTGTGCCGTTATTGAAGGCTTCTGCAAGGTAGTTGCTACTTGTTCACACACGCTGAAGATATTCTGCGCAAAACTTAAACGTATCGCTCTTTTACAGAAGTAACAGGCAATGGTGCTTTTTGTCATGCAGTATGGGACCCATGTATATTTCAAAAATATAGAAGACGGACAAGTTTGTACATTCGATGATCCTCCTGTACTGGTTTGCTTTCTAGACGTGTGCTTTATTTCTTCTAGGGTAAGATTCTTTAGCATTGCCAAAGAATCTTGCAAGTCCACCGTTCGTGACACACCATCAGGTATGGCTAGCCGATTGAAGAAGTTTTCCTCGTACTTTGGTTTAAGTTTTGCGCAGAATATCTTCAGCGTGTGTGAACAAGTAGCAACTACCTTGCAGAAGCCTTCAATAACGGCACAAACAACTGTTACTTGCATAAATGCCTTGAAGACAAACTTGCAGCGTCAACGAGACAACTTCTCTTTTTTAACGACCAAGTAGTTGCTTCAAACAAGACTATCAACTTTGTAGGCGATCCAACACAACCAAGACCGAAGAAAGTTCCGTGGCGACTTCAACACGGAGATGGTGAGCAACATCGTTTCCAAACTGCGAAAGACGCCCACCGTGCACAGTATATTGAAGCAATTGATGCGTGCTTGGCTTCACTACACGAGCACTTCGATCAAAAAACATATTCTGTATTGATGAACATCGAAACCATGCTCATTAATGCAGCAAACGGGTATAAGTTTGAGTTGAATGATGAGGTTGAACACCTTTACGAAAATGACCTCGTCTTTGACCAGCTGAAGGCGTAGTTAAAGCTTCTTGAAGGAATTATCTCGCATCGACATCCAGAAGTAAAGAAGGTGACATCAATTGACACCACAACATCAATATTCTCAAAAAAAGAAAATAACTCATCGCAGATTGTCATGGCAATGTCTAATATTGTCCGACTCTTGCAGATTTAGCTTGCTCCAATGAGCGCGGCCTCTGGAGAACGATCTTTCCATGCCAGCGGCTTGTCGACACATCTCAGGAGCACAATGACGGCAGCACGCTACAATAATCTTATTGTTATGCATGTAAACAATGCCAGAACTGACGAACTGGACTTACGTTTAATAGCTAAGGACTTTGTTCTCAAAAATGAACGTAGGGTTAGATTTTTTGGGAAATTTTAATGAGATTGCATTACTTAATAAAATTATTCATGTAGTCATCTTAGTTCAATTTGTTATCACGCACGCCGAGCAGTAGAGAATACGCATAGCATTCTAAGAATGTCTACCAATATTTTTCAGACTTTGAAACTTAATCATGATTCATGAAACAATGCATATCTGTAATATACTAAAACAGTAAGTTGCAAACTCACATGCCCTTTTCGGTCAGTCCCACTTTTGAGATACTTCCGCGGCCCTGTGCGATATTGTTGTTAAACTTGCAACGAAAGAAAGTCTAAAAGCGATACCGCTCATCGTTACTGATTTATTTTATTACGCAGTAAGCTTTTGTCAGTGTTTTCTGATTGGTCAGAATTGGAATCTGATTGGAATTTTAACATATATTTTACAAACGTGAAATAATGTCCTTTCCGTTGCCGACGTAGATAACAACGAAGAAATATGTAACATTTGTCGAACATTGAAACTGCACTGATAAATCAAAAAAAACGCAGTTTTTCTTGGCATTTAGCAAGTGAAATAGAAAAAGTAAATGTATTTTGTGTTGGAAGTTGCAATATGTGTATTTGGAATAATTGGAAATATTCTTGTGATCGCTGCTATGTTAAAACAAAAGATTTTGCTAAAAAAGAACTACTACTTTCTTGTCTTACATCTTGCGATATGTGACGTGCTGGTGTTACTGAGTATTCTCTTCAAACTATACAAAGATGTCACAGTTCTGTTATACTGCGCAAATTTAAATCACATTTATTTCTTGTTGACAACATGTGAAATTTCTGTAATGTACATCGTTTCAGTTCTACGTGAACAGCATTCACATTTAATTGTAAACCTTCGTCATTGATGGACTTACAATAATTATATGGAAGTAGACTTTTTGCAAAACATTTCACTTCTAACAGTTGTCAGTCATATTTAACATTTGCATATCATCATGAGAGTATTTTACATTTTCACTCCAAAGGACTGGATCTAGATATCTGGTATAATGTAGTGATTTTTTTTGCTTTATTGTTTCCACATTTCAGCATCACAAAAAAATGTTTTTACTGTGTATTCAGAAAACGTAATGACAGATTGTTTTGTGGCCATTCTTCAAAAAGAGAAATAAAGGCTGTTTATGTTCACCATTGAAATATTTCCTTCACATGCCTTTGTTCGTAACTGGACAATGATGGTTGTTTCTTTGTTTGTCTGTTCTAATTTGTAATGAACAAATGGATAGCAAATAGCGTCCATTATCTGTTGGGAAAACTCGCTTCAGAACAGTCTGAAATTTCTAAACAGTTTTTGCTAGAATGTTAAAATACTGTTAGTAGCATCGGCAGTGGTTGATAAAACCGCCATCATCTCCAATTACATTGCTCTGACTGTTTTTAAGACTGTTTTGTCCACATGCTCGAAACATGCACCATCGTCCTTGTTACATTTTGTTTCTTCCCACGAGATCCTTTCGTGCATTATTACAATATTTGTTTCCAAAAAATTGGATTTCCTTGTTATAGCATTGTATTTCTTTTAAGGCTTCTTGGTAGTAATCATAATAGTAATTGAGCTTGCTTGTAATTGCTTCATTTCATATTCAAACTTAAACAAAAGAGCAGTTTTTAGTTTCAATATTTTTTCATTGTTTTAGTTGCAAACATGTGTCTAGTAATGTTTAATAAATTTGGTTGATGTAGCATAGGTACATTAAACAAAGTTTCACTAGTGTTGGAACCTTTAATGTTTATGTCCTCATGCATTATGTGCCGCGCATATTAGCTTCCATTATTGTAGCATGATATTTAGTTCTTTTCACTCATTCTCAACCATTAAAATGACGCTACGTCAATTCTTATAATAAATTAGTTTTGATTTCATTACGAAGAAATGACGTCGTGTTATTGCAGTGGTTGGTATATAGAGACATATATACCAAACTCGCAAAATCTGTGTTAGAAGACCTGAGGTGTTCTCTAATGTTTACACTAGCGCCATCTCCGTCTCATCTTAGAAAAGCAACGTGCTGTAGAGCTTAGTATATAAAAGCATTGTAAATGTACATTTTCACTTCCTGCAAGCACACAAGGCTACACAATGTAAATCAAACATAGAATCTCAAATGCTATGCTCAGTAAGTCGTCATATTTTTACACAGATATTATGATCCATCGGTCATGCATCGTTTGCATCCATTTAATGATCATTGCAAGCATTTATTATCTTTCCTACATTAAGGCAAGTTACAAGTTAGTTGGAAAACCACTTAAAAAATGTTTCTTATTGAAGGCTTGGATCTCTATCACTACTAGCTGTATCTGCGACTGGAATAACGACGGCGACGACTGTAATAACGAAGGCGGAGACCGTAATATCTTTGGCGACGACTGGAATAACGACGGCGGCGACCGAAATATCCTCTGCGACGACCGTAATAACGACGGCGGCGACCGTAATAAACACGGCGGCGAACGGAATAACGCCTGCGACGGTAACGATAAGGTGAGCGTTTTTCTAGATCTGGATTAGCTTCCTCGTTGGCCCTACATAACGCAATGTTTAATGCTCATCAATTTTGCGTCTTTACTAAGTAGTGCAACGTACTACAAAGTGTTTTTAATGATTGTTGATGTGGATGAAATAGGTAGTAAGACGAAAGTTTTCTATCTAAGTTTTACTTTTATCGAGCAGAACTCTTCAAATGTCACGGGACTTTCGAAATCAGTTCACTCATCTCTTTTTTTATTCGTAAGCTAGGCCCTGTTTACATGAGACCGGAACAACGTTACACCAGGAAGGAAATCGGATTTTTTGAATGTCAACACGGAACGGGCACGAAATAATAAAAAATCCTCATCAGTGTAACACTTCTTTAGCAGGATATTTTCACATTTTCTTGCTTATTTGCTTTTGTACTTTAAGCACATGCCTTGTGTCATTTTCAAACCGGTGTGAATGTTAATTTGAGTTTATATTCATGCTGGTTTTCAATGTACAGCTCTGAACCCAATCGGATTTGTTGTTTAGGCTCAACAAGCGATACGATATTAGACCGCTCTGAGTTATATTTCTCCCCTCTTCATTGAAAAATAGCACATATTTCAATATATCAATACTATGACCGGCACGAGCCTTATTACATCGAAAAGTTTTCAGGACTTAAGAAAAAGGACATTTAGAAATTTGCCGTGACTTAATGTGCAATGATGTCACTTGTTTTGAATTTTGGAGATTACAAAAAGTTCATTTCTGAAGAAAGCTATTACATAAGAATAAACTGTTTTCGAAAGTTTACTTTTATGAAGAGTTCTTTTCCACAAAACTATAAAACAAATAGCAAAATTTTCCTATTGCTTTTTAAGTTTTATAACCACGAGATATGTACAAGTGATATTATTGCTCTGATTTTCTGCTTAACTGAATCCATCAATGTCATCATTCTGCCTAAACTGGTTGTGGAAAATAGCTATTAAGCAATTTACGTTAAATACAGTAATCGTGTGGTTTGCGCGTGTGATTCAAATCTTAGCCTCCGGTGTTGTTTGTAATACTTACAGTCATAATTATCAACCTTAACATATTATATACGTCAAACTTTGGACAGTGAATACAATTAAATTTTTGATTTGCACATCATCTTGTCGGATTTATCATAAATAAAAATTTTGCCAGGCATGCGGTCAATCTTTTCGGATTTATCATTCAAAAATTCTCTTTGTATCAGACCTTTGTCAAGGCTAACGTGAAAAGCATCAATACTTGCTCAGCGGCGTAACACCATTAGAGCATCCAGCGTTCGTCCATATAAGTTATAGATGCTCAATTTTAAAATTAAATTAGCTCCTTTCTGAAAAACAATGTTGGTTTTAAACTTCTAAAGGATATAATTTTACCAAATAACTTGTCTCTAAAGCTCTTGGAAATGTCAATATATTCCAAAATGTGCAGTAGTTTTTTTTTTACATAATAGTTACGCTGTAGTACTGTTAACTTTTAATATGTGAAGCATCCGTTTGCGTTTAGTGTTCGAACGTAAATTACTTGTAACAGGCACAATTGACCTATGCACGCGTTCAAAAACGTTATTTTACGCAAACAATACGAAAAACTTGTATACTTAATACAATGTACTGTGCTTCCATTTTGTCCAATTTAGTATTTATTTGCATTGTTTTGCATTATTTGCATTGTTATTTGGTCATTCTGGCGCATTACTCGGCCGGTGAATTAAATGAAAGGGAAAACGTAATAAATTTTATGTTGTATATTAATTACAAAAAAGATCCAACTGCACTTACATAACATCAAAATGACAAAAAATATTAACACATGATACGTGTTTAAATATGTAATAGCAGAAATGTATTGAAATACTTCCTATCACTAACTATAATCGATTTGCATTCAAGCTTATCTTTATTTGTAATAGGGAGATTATTTTTGGGAAAAATATATTATTGGATTTGGAGGAAATCAAATAAAACAACGCCGAACGTTGGTCAAAAAATAAAAATATAGTGTCAATGCTAGCTTAGGTTTGTTGATCGATTTGTTGAAAACATCGGCTTCTGATAAAAGTCAAAAAATTATTTTAGAAAGACAAGCTGCTGGCGATATTTTTTGTTGTAAAGAATATTTTTCACTCGAAACGGCACTAATTTTGTCGTTTAAACTGTGAGAAATCATAAAAGTATCTAAAGTTCCTCACTTTCTATAAATGGTGTACACAAGTACAGTCAAGTAATATTCAACCTAAGTGAGGGCGCTTTGCAACTACGGAAAGGGTCAAGAGACTTCCGATTGAGCAGTGTGCACGAAGAGAAGGTTTTCCCATCATATTGGTAAGTTATTTACTGTGCTTTTCTAAATTAATAGCGAGAGCTTAAGAGGTGAGCTTAATAAGTTTAACTTCAACATTGTAGCTTATCCCTGGTAGTTTCCTGTGTAGATATTTTTTGTAAGTTTACATTTTCTATCAAGTAAATAAGGTTATTCTTTTTCGCAAGACAATTTTACGATTCTGTTATGGTGTTTAATTTGAAGAGTTTACCTTCAAAAATTTACAAACCAAAGCTTTTTCATAGACACTCCACTACCAATTCAAAACATGGTAGACAAAGCTTACTCACTCATCTTTCAACAGGTCATCTTCATCAACAGTTTCTTGTAGTTCCTTTTCCATGCTTTCCTCTGGGGACGTTTCTTCGTCAGATTCTAAACGAAACAACCCTTGCTTTCAAGAAACGTTTTATGATTGATAAATCATGGAATAACTAAGCTTCAAGTCTTCTAAATGAATATGTAGGAAAAACACTTTAATACCGTTTAAAGTCCCATCATTGAGCTTTTCTTCGTCGGGAATTGTTGCTGCATAAGCAACTGTACAAAGCAAACCAAGAGCAAAAAATAGATAAGTAATCTTCATAGTGAATTGTCTGACCAGTCTTCTTTACTTCTCTACAGTTTGCTGACGAATGAAGATTGAATGTAGACTTGGCCTTTTTACTGAGCACTACACGATGAAGGTATATGTTATAAATTTAAATGTTTTTAAGGATTGTTACCTAACTCGCCGCCCGGAGCTGTTTTGTATGTGCGAATTCAATTAGCATTATATTCGCTTTTGTATCTTTAGATGTGATATGTCGTACCTAACTTCATGAAAATGAACTTTAAATAACCATTTGGGAAGGGTAAAGTGGGCCTTGGTGTCATCGTTCCAACTTTTTGCGTACCTCAAATTCAACAAAACCATGGAGTTTTCTAAAGATTTCAATCGACAATATGATGTAAGTTATCAAAAATATTGAAAAGGCACACATTGGTATTCACCACAAACATGGCGCGCCGGGTTGTAAGATATTAAGCCCTTCAACCAACTCTCCTTTCGACAAAATTTTCAATTTCTTGAAGAAGAAAAAAATCTTAAACCATCGACTTGTGATAATAACAATAAACGGCATGATTTCATCAACGATTTGAAACTGTGTTGGACTGGAGACTTTCAATTGTTAAAACTCTTTCTTTAAATGCATATATTGACCTAAATGATACATGGAAATATCCTAGAGACGAGAGAAAATCTTACAGTAATGGCGATATGAAAATAATGTGGTGGAGAAAAGAAAAAAGCTTCGCTTTTTGGGAAAAAAAATAGCAGAATTAAGCAGCAGATTTGCGATGTTTTAATGGTTAAGGTAGCATCTGATAATACTATATCTCATATGGAAGAAGGAAGAAATTTTAGTAAAAGAGATCTTATTAGTACAACAGCCCAAGAAAACACTCATGACGAAAGTTTTTCACTTTTTTTTGATAAAACTCACAATCAATGCTCATGTGGTCAATTAAAAACTGACATGAAACTCGATAGAGAAATATTAGCTACAAGCTAGGACCGACGCTGCAATGGCAAATCCAGCGTTCGTCAAAATAAATTATAGCTGCCAATTTTAAATTCAAATTACCTTTAGAAAAACGCTATTTGTTTTGACTTTCTAAAGAATATAATTCTATTACGTCATTAGCTATAGTTGTTGAAGGAGATCACTGCGCATGAAATAACCAGTTGTGCTGTACATGTGAATCGGTGAACATGCGTTGGTTATCGTTTCTCGTGGATTTTGGATTTTTTCGATTAAAAATTTCCCTTTACCTTTGAATTTAAGAAGCTAAGTTTGTTTTGTCTAGTTGTATTTACGCTTTGATTTTTTAGTAAAATGATGTCTGACTGCGAGGTCACACTTGACGCCCGACTTATTGAGTTTCCAACTAAAAGCTCTTCTTTAATTAGTGCGTTCTCTACAATAGAAAATACCATGTCAGAAACATTAAATAACTTAGCGTTTTATAAACTTTGCGCAAAAACAAAAATATTTCTACTGATGATGTGTAAGATAACTCAAATTTTCCATCTTCAGCGAGATTTGCGCACTGTAGTTTTACAAGATTCTATTTTGCGTGTGACAAGTTCAATCTCAGTTACTGTGAATGACTTATTAAAATTTAGAGAGACGAAGCCTTTGCCAGATTTTTGCGCCATTACGACTATGCTCTTTGATGCCGTTACCTTATTAGGGCATGTAAACTTAGAACTTTCATACAAACGTGGAGATTCAATTCGTTCGCTTCTTAGTAGCGGATGAAATCCAATGTGTAACCGCTCGAATAAACCTGTGGAATTTCTGTTTGCTAATGACCGTAATAAAACCATGACTAATGCCAAATTGCAAGGCAAGATGCTAACCTCCGATTTCAAATCACGCCCACGTTTCTTGCCATACCAACCCACGAAGCGAACTAATGTTTTCTCCAGAAGAGGAAGGGGTCACTTCTCTTTCCAGTAACAAAAATTTCAACTACCACTCCGTCTCAAATCAGAAAACATACTCGTCAATAGATTTACAGGTAAATAACTTTCCTCGCTATTTTACAGCGAAAATAGAGGCTACTGACTTGTTTTCAAGTTTATGTTTTGTCATTCACGTAGAAAAATCTTCCTTTATCTTGCAAAATAAAACTGTGTTTCGGGGATTTGAGTTAAACTCGATAACTATGAAAATGCAATCAATTTCGGAAAAAATTTCCAAAATCGCTTCTCGAATTAGTGCTCTTTTAAACTCAAAATGCATCATACGCGAGTTTGCTGAAATAATTGGCTTGCTAGTTTCTTGTTTTCCTGGTGGCGAGTGCCATTATAGATTAATTCAAAATGACAAAATACTTGCGCTGAAACAATCTTGAGGGAATTTTGATGTGTGCATGGCTTTATCATCTCAATCAGTTGACGAATTAAATGAGCTACGTTCATCACCACTTTATGCAAATAATTTATACTCCAGCGATAGATATTAGCTCACTCAGATGCATCACTTTCTGGTTGGGGTGGTGTCTTGTGGAACCAAAGAACTAGTCGATTCTGGACTAACGAGGAAAAGTCGAAGCATATGAACTATCTAAAACTTCTAGCAGCCTATTTTGGCTTATAAATTTTTCATTGTTTTCATGCTAACAAAGTTGTAAAAACTATGATTGATAAAGGCACGCACACCGGTAGCACTTGGTTATTATTGGAACAAAATAATATGTGGCTTTCGGCTGGGTTTATACCATAGAGGCAGAATGTGATCGCCGATAAAGAGTCGCATAATAAAAATATTGACCCTGAATTGAGGCTTAATCTGACGTATAGGTTCCCAGCTATGACGCATTTAGCCTTCCTTCCTGACATTCATCTGTTTGCATCTCGCTTAAATCATCAATTTGGTCGCTATATTTCTTATTTACCAAATCCTTACTCACATGCTATTCTTTCGTAAGATAATAGAAGAAAAGGACAGGGGGGTTTAAATTTTTTCTGGACTGGCCAACTCGGTGTTGGTACCCATTGTTGGTACAAATATTAGAGAAACCGCCGAAAACCGACTTACTGATTCTTCCTATTTAACCCAATCTCAAACACCCATAACACAAAGAAACTGACTATCATATAGTTTAAGAAGTGTTTAATCTTCAATCCTCACATGGGAAAGTAACAATACACCATGCAGACAGTGGCTATATGTCAAACGATTTATGAAAGGTATACACGAAACTCGGCCATCGATACCAAAATATTGCTCGACATGGGATGTTAACGTTGCATTTAATTATCTCCCCCCTTTTGGAACTCCGGTATCGCTCTCCCTCAAAGAACTGTCTCACAGACTTGCTTTCCTCCTGTTACTCTTAAAGGGCCAAATTGCAAAACGATTAATAAATTATCTATTGATCATATAGTCAGTTATTATAGTAATTGAAGACTCCAGAAGTACTTTTGTTGTAACAGAACAACTCACACATTCGAGACCTGGTACTCATCGATAACCATTAACATTTTTAGCCTACTCTGACGATAGAAGATTATGTGTAATCAATCATGTTTTAAAATATTTAAAACGTACGGCCCCACTACGTGGTGACAATAAACAACTTTTATCAGTTTTGTAAAGGCACACTGACTTATATACACTGAAACTACTTCACAATGGGTTAAACGTTTTATCACAGATGCTGATATTGACACATGCATCTAGTTATACAAGTCATAGTACAAGGGCGGCTTCAACTTCTCCTTTTGTTTCAAAAAACTTTGATACAAAAGATATAATGTGTGCCACAGATTCATTGCAATGTTTCAATACACATAATATTAATTTTGGGAACGCTATTTTAGAAATCTTGACCTAATGAGTGTCTGTATTCACTTGTCTGATTTATTCACGTTTTAATTATTTCCTTTGCGATTGCATAATCGCTTGTTTGTTGGCTGGTCATTCCAAATATTAGTAAAATGTCTGCTCTGAAGTCTCCTACAACTACGTAACGACTATAGCTAATGACGAAATAGAATTGACGTAAACGACACATGATATTAAGCCCAAATGCCCAAACGGCTAAGCTTCGGGGAGGGAGAGGCTTCCCGTCTGTGCCCCAACCCCCATACGCTCATGTTAATCAAGTACAACAAAAATTTTTCCCTTCGGGCTCAGGCTACGCTAGATTACATTCCCAGCAATCCCATAGTGTTTTTGTACATGAGGCTAGACTCTAGCATAATTGACCACCAAAACAAAGTACAGAATAACAAACAGAGCTCAAAGCATAACATAAATTTAATATTAATTTAATAAAACTTTTATAAAGTGTTTAATTTAAAATAAAAATTTTTGCTCACTTTTAGTCAAATGATGCAGGTAGTGTGACCTCCTTTTTGCATTTAGCAGACACTTTTGTTTACAATTCATATTAAAGTTCTTCGCATTGCATTAAGAGGAAACGATGCTATATCTTCTCTGATTTCTTTGGAACTTAATGAAAGTTCATTCCTTTTGTCTTTAGTGTGTTATTCGTGCTTTTGGGCCTTATACATTGAGCACTGGCTGTTAATGGTTTCTGAATAAGGCATTGAATAATGTTCAATATAAAAGTAAAAAAATTTCATTTCATTTCAAATGAAATATTGGAACTTAGATCATACATTCTCTTTTGTCACAAGTGAGGATCTCATATACAAGCATTATAATTATTGACAATAAACACAAGCATAAGACAAGAAAAATGGAGAGTTAATCTTGTGTTTGTGCTCATGCTTATGTTGAAAGTAAGGACAAATGTATCTTATGCACGAATACTCGACAAAGGTCAAGCAGTTGATAACATTAATGGAAAACATACATTATAGTTCACCCAACAAATATAATTCTCTCAATTAACAATGAAGAGTATAGTATTATTTAAGAACTGATTCAGTTTTTGAAAATCATTGTATTTTAAAATTTTTTAATCACCATGAAAACACTGTAATTTTCCTTTTTTTCTTCATGCCAACACACTTGCCCCAAAGTATAAATCAAACATAGATCGTCACTTGCTAAAGAAAACCCTGAAATTTATCATGAAAAATTTTGTATTGTAACGCATTTTTGCATAATAAATCAGGTATTCAATGGGGCTTACCAAGGAGTCACAAATAGGCCTATTATTAACTGTCCACATTTAAACTATGGAAAATCTAGTGATAACTGATGAAATAATTCCTGACTGGCGTTATTTTAAACAATCAAATATCCTGAAAGAAATTTAATTAACAGCAATTGATAGCTTGCAATCAAAAGAAAATTTGCCGAAACTTTTGCTCCTACAATAAAATTTTTTCACAAACTTATTACAAATTTCTTTGGAAAATTCGTTTCTTGCACTCTTATTTTCGTAAATGGACACAAAAATGTTTGCATTGTACCATTAAGAAAGTGCAAAGAAGATCAAGTACACTGTGTGTGGATTTTTAGATATCTTATTTGTAGCATATCGATCCTATCCTTTTAAACCATCCCTCTTCATCCATTCAAAAATAATCTATTTTATTGGAACATGTTAATAATAGTCTGCCCTACGTCATCATACATTATTATTCAACGTTGATTAAAAAAAGACAAGAGAAACGGCGGAAACTAATTATTGCAAGCATTTAATATTCTACAGAGAATACATAAACAAATGTGAATTTAAGTTACATGTTTATGTGAAAAATTACATCAAAAATGTATCTTATAGCCGGTACTCTATTCGTACAAATGGAAAGGAATACGATAACAACGGCGTCATAATTAAGGGCAAAAACAACGGCGATAGAGACCAATGCGATAACAACAGCGTTATGAAGCAATGAGACAACATCTGCTATGAAATCAAGAGTGATGACAACTGGTATACGAACGTTAATGATAACAAGAGAAAAGGGAACGAGGTCTGCGTCGACGAGGTGAACGTTTTTCTAAAATTGGATCAGCTTCAAAATCATCTCTACTTAACACAAAGCTTAATATCAGTCATTGAGTCAGTGAATCAGTGAGTCACTGACTGACTCACTTACTGACAGACTCACTCACTCACTCACTCACTCACTGATTGACTGACAGACTGACTGACTGAATAGGAAATTTGCAATAATAAACTGTTTTAGATAGCCTATCATGTCATTTTAAAAGTTCTCTATTCTAGCTTTATGTTTTAAATAGCAAAAATTTCAATTTTCAGGCTCTTAAAGCTTTGTAAACACGAGATCTGTACTAGAGCAATATAGTTGGTCATATTTTTTACCGACTGAAGCAATATTTCAAGAATTTGCTCATTTTCAATTTTTAGGTACTTAATTGATGTCAGCACAGGTAAGCTTTGTAAATGCAATCACTAATATTATTTTGATTAAACGATAAGAGAAACTTGTACAATGCACTGGGCCTTTGTTTAGCACTTATTTGCGTTGTTTGCTTGGTTCAATCCGGGCAGATTACACGATTGGTTAGTTAAATGAAATGCAGAAAACGTATTAATTTCTTTAAGCTCTTAGTTTCTCAGATTTTATAAAAATAAACTGTGTGTATTTGCATAATGTCAAAATGACAATGAATATTAACACATGACACAAGTCAAACTAGGAGCAATATGTCTCGCACTTGCATTGTGCGAAGCCTTTACCTTCAAATGTCATAAGAAGACATCACAATGACAGTCAAATAGAATGAAATATTTGTTACAATTCTTCGACGAAGTGGAGACTTACGAGTAACATAAAAAGTGTGAAATAATATTCATTGCTTTCAAGTGATAATGCTAATGATGCGTTACCGATTGTTTATTTAGCAGGCCTTTCAATTTGTTTCCGAAATAATTAAATGTCACTAAATCTTGCACTGTCACATTTGAAGTGATGCTGTCATTATGGTGTTAGACAGTCTAAACACATAGTCTAAGACTCTTGGTGGTTGCGGCAACAAGCCAGCAACAAGCAATATGGTAAATATCATGCTAAGGGCAATGTCTCATGAACACGACAAATCAAAGAACTTTGCTCGCGTTGATGGTTCTAAAACTGGGCGCAAACTGTATGAAACTGATTATTCCATATTCCAGAAAACAACCTTTTCCCAACCGTTTTCTGTGTAATGTTCTCTAGAAGTTCACATTTTCTATCAAATGAATGAAGTTTATTCGCTCTCGCAAAACTATCATTAGGTTCATGAAAGCTTGACGTTAGCAGTTATAATATTTAGTTTTGAAAAAACCCCAATTTTAAACTCGAAAACTCACGAAATGAAAGTTTACTCACAGTTCATCTTCATCATTATCATCGCCATCATTTTCATGCAATTCCTTCTCGTTGTTTTCCATTGGCCAGGTTTTTTCATCAGATTCTAAACATAACAAGCTTGGTTTTTCAATAATGAGCATGAGTTAGCAAACGCAAAGAAACTAAATATTCTATGGACAAGTTTCACAGTTTTTTATTTAAACAAATTGGGGAAAGTTTTCTTTACCGTTCAAAATCCCATCTTAATTTTTACTTCATCGTGAGTTGCGGCTTAGTAACCAACTTTACAAAGCAAACCAAGAGCAAAAACAAGATAAGTTCTCTTCACATTTAATACATTAATCTGTCTTCTTCCCTTCTCAACAACTGGCTGATGAGTGATGATAGAAGACAATTACAACAACTTAGATAGAGCACTGCAGTAAAAGAATCTGTTATGATTTACATAATTTTAAGATCTGTTTCATACGTTGCGTTTAATATGTGCCGAATTCAATTTAAATTGTACTTTCTTTTGTGTTATTTGGTAGTTAATGCATACAGGTGATACATAACTCTATCTGATTCAAACTTAATAAACACTAAGTCATCTCGCATTGGCTATTTATTTTCACCCCTGATGGTGCGTCTTCAATAAAATTTTCAAGGAAAAAATATGGTGGAATTTTTAATAGAAACGAAATGATTACGTAAGCAAACGCTAAGAAACGTGTTACTTCCAATTATTGCGATTCTTTGTAAACAATATGCATATGATCATGATACTTTTAGTATGTTACTCATAGAATAGAATCGATTATCAGGTAATGATGAGACATTTTTAGCTAATTTTAATTTGCAGATACTTCGTTGGAGTTTCTGGGCGTCATTGCAAACTGTCTAGCGTTTTTTGTGCTATTAGTCTACCTTTCCGACAGTAAACCCTTGTGCTAAAAATATGAGATCAACTTACTAATTTTGCACAATCAAATGGTCGGACATAGCATTGTTTTATGTAGCATAGAGTCAATAAATGTTCTTGAGGCATTTGTAAATGTTATTCCAGTTCAACAAAACGATTATTTTTAAAGGGTTAAGATATAACATTCAGTAAATATTTTCTGTCAGATGATGATCATTAGGTTTAAAACGGGAATGTTGTTGCGCTGAAGGTATTGTTTATAAAAACAAAGAAGGTTAAGTTATACACATGTTAAGTTATTCCTTCCAACGACATGTTATTTTAACATGTCGTTGGAAGGAATTAGCCAGCCCACTGAAGACTATCTATATCCGATTCCAGCTGAGTTGAATTTTCCAACAGTTGTTTTTATGACATGTATGCATGATTCGCTGCATAATGAGATGTTATGTTTTTTTCCAGGAGGGAAATGGTTAAACTTTAATGTTATACCTTGATTACCTTCTGCCTTTTAAATATAAACGTTATGGGTGACTAAAATCATTATTACAAATGTCTCAAGCGCAATTTCCAACAATTCTATAGCCTCTGATGTACATAATAATACTATGTTCGACTATTTGGTTGTCCAAATGTTGTAATTTGATCTCATTTTTGTTACAAGTGTGTTGACCGTCGAAAAGATGGATTCTACCAGACTTCTCGTTCAATGAATGTCATTCTATCTATCTGGTTTTTGACGTGATCAAACTGAATTAGTGAGTTATAAAAGATCTAAATTGTTTGACTTTTTAAAAGCATACATGTTTGTTATATGATTGTTTCAATTAAAAATTATTGCTTGCTTTTGTTTCAGCTCATATTTATAAACAAATGCATAGCGTCAGTGATTTGCCAAACCTGCACTAGAATATATCGTTTCTACATATTTTCATGTGAAGTATTTTTTCTAGAATGTACCAATAAATATGATAGCTAACTATGTATAGGAAATGCACCTACCAAACACCTAAAACATCACCTAGCTTTGCAGCATGAACTAACTTGTACTATAGTTTATAATGATTGACACATGATTTTCTTACTACTAGGATAAAATCCATAACAATGGATTGACAAGAAAATAATCATCCCATGCATCATTCTTAACTCATTGTACTTCTCACAAATGACATGTATTCATAACTAACATTGGTAAAGGAATTGATGATTGTAACAATTAATTCATTGCACTCGCTCAACGAGACTATGACTAATAGCAAGATGTGGGTAGGGTTGGTTGTTATCAAAAATAACAAAGTAGTCTTTTCGAGGGGATATTCTTTCTCCGTTTCTTTCTTTAATCTCCTAAAATTTGTGAATAGTTAGCGAATAGAGTTTGATAGTTTTGAAGAAAATAGAATATTTTAGCCTTGCGTGCAAAGTACGTCATGTACTCCAAATAGCTAAGATTTTCTCTTACGCATTTTACAATGCAAATATGTTTTAAGTAATGTATTTTGACCAACTCTGAATCCACAATTTCTATTGATGTCTTTAAGCAAAGGGCATTTTTCTAGGAGCTACATTTCTCCACCCTCTCTAAATCCGTTTTTCTAACTGTATGGAAAAGCAAAACTTTGTCAACATTACGTGATAAGTATTTCAACCGTCTCCTTAATTCCATAAAAAGCTGATCAATGATGGCGAAGAATATTTCAATGTAAGCGAGCACTAAATCTTTTTCACCACTTTAGTAAAATTGACGTTTAGTCGTTTGCTGCATAAAGCTTGTAGCTAATGAATACCCTTGTAGACTTCTGTATGAACACGCATTATCAGAAAGAATTATCAATAACATTCATTTCAGAATTATTAATAACATTTCCTGTTTTGTGTTTTCTTCATCTTGAATTGTAGCTGGGAAAGTTACGGCGCAAACCAAACCAAGAGCAAAAACAAGATAAGTTGTCTTCGTAGTGAATTATTTAACCTGTCTTTTTCCCCTCAAATGCTGGCTCTTGAATGATGATCGAAGACAGTTTGGGCATCTTTGTAGCTATAGAAGAGCCATAGAAAAAATGCGTGATCCGATATCATGGTTATACAAAATAACCCGTCGAAGGCTGTAGACAGACAGCCGAAAGCTTGTTTAAAGTGTCTATGTCAGAAAATGAGACTTTACATTTTGAAAACTATGGTCAAAATGAGTTATTAAGTTCTAAAACAAAATTTAAATTGGAGTTATAGTTTTTGCCTTCGCTTAAACATTGACTTCCTTTAAGCAAAAATCTAGAAAACTGCGCAAATGAGACTGATGCGAATTACGAAATTTACGTCACAATAGGAACTCGTCCTACTTTCATGTTTGGAAATTCTATTACGTGAGGTGTTTTATCTCCGCCAAACGTCATCAAAATTGAAAAACTCCAAACGGTATTATGAATGTTTTATGCAGTGCGGTGTAACATGAGCCCAACAATATTGACCTGCCCACCACTGTGTGACTTCATAGCTCAGTTGGTCAGAGCACTGCACTGGCACCGCAGAGGTCATGGGTTCGAATCCCGTTGAGTCACCTGATTTTTTCAGGTCCTGAGACGATTGCTTAAATTGTCCAGCAAAGTGCGAAGATCATATCTTCATTTAATTCCAAACGGTATTGTTGTGGAAGGTTGTTCGAATGTCATAAACACAGAGAAAGAAATTGCACTACATTTTATATCGTTTTACACCCGAAGATAAATCAAGACGTAAACAGTCGATTGCTCTCCAGAGCTAATGCGCATAATGAATCTGTGAGAAAAATTGACCATTTGTTCCGAGTATTATGCAAGAGAGGGTTTCACACTTATTTTTTGAATGTCTCGATTAGCAACTTACATAATTGGCCTTGCAAAATTGGCAAATTTTATGTTAGTTTTAAAGCAATAAATAATGAAATTTGAGAGTCGTATACTTTGGTGTAACCCGCTATGAAATTCGTAATGCCGTATTGCATAAGCACAAGCTGCTATAGTGTATCGTCTTTTCAAAGCCATCATCAGAGAATATATATGATATATTAATCAAGTTTGAAAATTTGTAATCCAGGCATTTAATACATATAAGATAAAGTTTCTCCGGATTTTAAAATGATTTTTATTGAGCTTTCGACAACACCAAAACTAAAACACTACACTCTACTATTATTAACA